AGAGATTGTGCCCATCTCATCCATCATTCTACCGCCCCAATCCTGCCAAGGAAGAGTTAAATGTCTTCTCAGCAGGCCGTGGTGCTGTTTTTCCCATTTCCTAAGAGTCTGGTAAGCCGGCAAAAGATCTATATGCCGGTTGATGGAATTTTCATTAGAGAGCCAGTAAAACAACCAGTGGAGCCAAGGACAGTTTGCTTGATGCGGAACAACTAATAGGAGAATAAATGCACGCATCGCAGAACACAAGAAGTTTCTTGAGTTAGAAAAGCAAGGAGTATATGCAATCCCATGCACCGCTCGTCCCAACACATACATCGGACAAACCAACAGAAGAATAAGTGCATGCATTGAAGAACATAAGAACTCAGTCAAAAAAGAGGAACCAACATCTTCCTGGTCCAACACCTTAAAGCCAAAGGACATGAAATTGACTTTAAAAATACCAGAACTATCGCCAAAACTGAACATTTTAATAACAGAATAATCAGAGAAGCCATCGAGATAGAAAAACACCCACACAGCATGAACAAACGAGATGATATCTCCTGCCTACCAGCCATTTGGAAACCCGCCCTTATTGACAAACGACTCCCTAACACAAAGAATGACACCAGACCCACACTCACTAAAACCACACAAGATGTCACCACCACACATCCACGCAAAAAGCAAACCCAAAGCCACACCGATGATGAGGCCCGACCACAAACCAGAAACCAGACCACAGCTGCATCATTAACTCCTTTAAACCCCTCCAATCCATACATGAAGCAAACTGACACCCACCATGAAGATGAGACACGACCACGAACGTGAAGCCAAAAAATAGCAAGGCACCCTACCATCTTAAATCCCCCTGCAACTCAGACTAACCTGAGCACAACAAAGCCCCCACCCAAACAGAAGACTCCTCCTAAACTGCCTTTAGTATCTTCTCCTTCTGAAGAGACTGGTTGCTCTTCAACAAATTTATTTTCAAACAGGGATGAGCAAGTTATGCAATCCTGAAAAGAATTTACAACAGACTTTATGGCAATCTTTATTGAATGTAAAAGTGATAATTTCTGTCTCTTGAATATTTAACATATATAAAACAAAGTGTGAACTTTGTAAAACAGTTTTTGATTTTTTTGTGCAGAGTAATTAGTTAGCAGCTCTCACATAAGCTCAAAACATTAGCACTAAGAGTCAACAGGCCATGATTATGGAAAACAAACTAGTGGAGCAAAAGAAATCAAGATAGGTAAGAGGGTGGTTAAATACAGGGAGAGGCTTTGCTATTGCATTCCACCAAAGTGAATACTCTTAAACACAACTGCATTTTTTAAGCTACTCAAATTGTCTTACAGATTGCACAGTGGATGCTGACTCACTGGAAAAGTTGTTCTATCATGTCATTCCAACAATAAGTGCAAATCTTTCTATCACACCCTCTAGGCCTGTTCTAATTTTTTGCAAAGTTGTATTATTATCAACATTTAGTAAGTATTTTTACTTTTCAATCATGTGTACCTCCAGCTTTACCAACTGCTGTTAAGGAGTGCTCCTCTTAACTTAAGCCTGATTAATAATAATTAATTATTTTCTTTCTGCAGAATTGTTGGGAAGGGCATGCAGATTTAATAGCTGCATGGATCTATTGGACATTGTGTATTGCGAATTCAGTTGGTTCAAGCTTGAATCCCAAAGCTCAAATTCAGCATTCCTCAATTTAATAATTCTAATTATTTTTCTTTCTCCCAATTTCAGAATGTGAAGTAGCCAAAGTGAGCCTGAGCTTCCTTATACACCAGTCATTTCAATGCTTTCTCCTCTTTCCTTTATTCATCTCTTCTCCCTTCATCTATCTTGTTACGAGGTTGGTAAACTGTTCTTTCCATTGGTTTCGAGTCTTACCAACATGCTTATGTTGTGTGTGCTCCTTGTTTAGAAACTCCTCACTTGAGCCTTCTGTTTATTCTAACCCTTCTCCAGGGTCTCTCTTTCCTGTATCTGAAGTTCTTGAAAGAATAGTTCTTTTTTTTTCACTTCACTTTTCTACCAAAAATCTTATAGATCTAATTCAATCAGACTTTTATGTGAGATACTCTAATGGCAGAGGTATCAAACTGCCGGCCCATGGGCCGGATATGTAATGCCAAAATCGTACCCACCTCATTGCCGGCAATAGAAAAAAAAGTCATGATACGTCATGCTCTATGGGATTATTCAAGCAGGCCTGCCTCCTGAGACTTACCAAGTGTAGCTTCCTTACAAATGGGACCTGCAGCATGCGTCTTCAGCCAGATTTGATGAGATGGCAGATATAATTGGGGAGAGATGTTCTCTCATATGATCTGAACCCATGCCATGAAAGATTTTAAAAATCAAAATCAGCACTCTGAATTGCACCTGGAAGCAAACTGGCAACCAGTTCAGTTCATGGAACAGAAGTGTAACATGTACTCTTCTAGAAGCACGCTACTGCATTTTGCACAGACTGAAGTTTCTGGATTCTTTTTAAGGACACCCCATTCAAAGCACACTAAGTAGTGACTTGAGCAGACCTCTCTGACTAGGAATGTGTGCAACATGACGTGGTGTAAAGTCCTTCCTAGCCATAATTACTACCATGAGACAAAGAGGACCCCCAGATTGCACACCAGGTCTGTCTGAGACACTGCAAACCCATCCAGCACCAAAGGCCTTGAACTGGCAGGCCCCAAAACTCAATGCCAGTTTTGACAGTGTTCAGCTGAAACCTGTTGTTCCCCATCCAGACCCTAAACAGCTTCCAGACACTAGGAGAAGACACTCACAACTTAACTTGCCAGGAACAGAGATATATTACTGCCCAACTAAATATGAACTCAAGGACCTTAAACAGAGAGGTGATGTAATGGAATGTAGTCTGGATTCCCAAGAGGGATGGGCTGCTTTCCAGGATAGAGGCAGTGGAACTTGCAAAGTTTGGTAGGCTAAACCAAAGGAAAATGGCTAAAATTGCTCTGCCCTAGCTAGTTCCAGAATACCTCTGTAATTTTGTTGCCTTAGTTTAGCAGGTTTCTGTGTATAAGTGAAGACAATAAAGGAGACTACTCATAAGGAACTCCATTTGCCATTTTTGGTTCTTGGGCCCTGACATCACTTTTGCCAGACTAAAGCAACTACTTGCATAACTATAGATTTACCCTGGGAATAGCTAGGTTTAAGCCATTTTAACTTTTTTAACTCTCTTCCTGCAGACCAGGCTTTCCAAGGCACACTGCCTCTTTGCCATCTGGAAAGCAGCCCCTCCCTCTTGCAAATCCAGACTACATTCCACCACAGGCTGGTACAACAGCAACAATCTCTCAACTGATACCTAGGGCCTAACTTAATGAACAGAGTCTTACATCTAGTGACCTGTAGCGCAGTGTCCCTTAAAGCTGTAAGAGATCCTGAATGACTATTGCCACACCTTCACTTCTGCTCTTGGGTTTTTACTGATGCCCCACTTAAAGCCATCTGAACAATCTCTGAAAGGGCCACCTCTCTTTTCAGACCCAGCTAGGTCTCATGCCAAGTCAGCCTTCTCATTGACAATTAGATTGGAGATGTGGGAGGTTTATTACAGAACAGTCTGGCATTTAAAAGCAGAAATTAGGCCTCTGAAAGTTTACTGACTAGATACAGGAGCTGAGACCAGCTGGAATGCGAAACTGGTGTAAGACAATGATTCTGCATTCCTTGAGAGTGGTCCACTCCTTGTCTCCTACAATATCACCCCATGCCTGTCACTACTGTATTTTGGCCCGCCCCTACTGCACCAAAGATAGCACCATCCTCCATTCCAGGCCCCCCAGTTCCAGAGGTTGGAGAAGTCTCACTGTCCTTTAATAATAGATTCATCCCTGGGAAAGGAAGCCAGACTCCCTGAAGGATTAGCATCTTTATTAATTCTCAGCACCACCAGCAACCATCTTCTTATTCCACTTGCAAGCACATTCACAACACTCATACATAAGGACCCATCCCCTATTGATCTCACCAGTTGGTTAAGGGCTCTCTTCCATTCACATGCAGGCAACCAATCTTCTGTTCTAGCTCTTAACCAGAGCAGAGGGAACAGGCTATAGTGAAACTCATAGTCCAACAATCATAGGCAGTAGTCGGTAAATGGAATCCAGAAAAAATATTCTTGCCTCCATAAAAATCCACAAGAGAAGAGATGTCCAGCAAGGAGAAAGCTATCTGAGTCTGCAATGGGAGAGATATCTGTAGCAGAAAAACTGCACAACATAAGCCCCCCCACAAAGTCGGTGAACAAGCAGCAAATATGGTAAGCAGCAAAAGTGTAACACTGAAGAGCAAAAAGATAAATGAGATAAATTGTGGAGCAGTTCTGTAATTAAGGAAGTATAAACGTGATAAATAAATTGTAATGTTTGTTTGAATACATAATTAAGACTTTTATATTTAAGGAAACTAATGAACACCTTTAAACAGCTCAACATTTTGAATTCTTCTTTTCTTTGCATTTAATTTTGGGTTTTTTTCTGTTTTTTTTCTTGTTTCTTTTTTCTTGTTTTTTTTTTCCACTTAGTTTTGCTTAGGTTTTTTTCCCCCCTTTATGCATACAATATTTCCTCCAATACTGCTATGGTTCATGCATGTTTGTTATTTGTTATAAATGTTATCAATTGTAATGTCTTATAAAGTTCCATAAATAATTCATAAAAACTGCTATATCAGGTGTGCTATTTAGCCTTAAATTCAAAATTTATACATAGTTAAGCAACAATATTACCTTAATTATCAGCTTACAAGGTATTTTTGCTAAGTTTAAACCTATCAATTTGCCTGCCATTGTGTATGCTCAGTGAATGCACAGTAACATAATGCAAATATTTAAAATGGTAGACAAGTGCACACATTTTTTGGTGATGGAAATAGAAAAATATTATTTCACTATTCATATATGGTGAAATATATACCATTTAAGTCATCACATTGTTCCACTAATCAACAACAAGGCATCATATGAAAGAAATTTTTAGTTTTTATTTTACATATTTATACATAAAACTTTCAAGGTAACTCTTTCAACCCAACCGCATGTTAAATAGCACATCTAAAAATGAACTTTCGGTAGTCAACATTCACAAAATGTTGAAAACTGAGTAAAATATATGTATATTACTGAAAGCTACAAGTTCACTACGAGGCAGGCATGTATTTTTTTTTCTTTTACTTGTATAGCACCTTCAAATTACAGTCTCATTTGTTTAAAACTACAGTGAAATGATAAAAAGTAGCCAATGGTAAAATACTGTTTAACTTAAAAGTCTCTAAATAAACAAAAATAAAAGTTAAACTATCCTCCTTCTTTTCTTGTTTGCAATGTTTATAAGTATTGTACATTTTGTTCTACAATAAGATTATTGAAATGTCCAATATTTAGTGGCACAAGTAAAAAAAAATAACCCAAACCAACAGCAAATAAATTAAAAAAAGCAATTAGGCCAGTCACTGGACATAAAGCTTCAGATAGTAGGGAGCAATTCACCAAGCACTTTGTGCATCCACCATTGTTTTAAGGAGGGGTTCGTGCAGGGTTCCTGGTGCTTGGCAGATTGTGCCCAGAATCAATGGCTAACACTGATTTTCTCATGTGCCAGGTGTGGGACATCAGTGTTTGTATAACCACAGAAGCAAAAAAAGTTCTAGTCTGTTTTTTAGTTGGATGCTTCCCATTTTATTTTGTTGGCATTTTTTCAGTCATGTGCTTCTGCTGACTTTCAGCATGTCTGAAGAGAAATGGAAAAAACTACATTATTGCACAGAAACACAACATGAACCAATTTTTTCCATTTTAATGTAAAACGACCGCACAGAAGAAACATCTTGGGATAGGAAAGACAAAAGTTAGTTTAGTCTTATATATATAAATTTAATACATTTATAATACAAATTTATATTATACACATAAAATTAATAGTATAAATACATATAATGGCCTCATCCCAAGATTACTGATTACTTTAAAATGTGTGTGTTTGTGCATTAATATTTACACACATTTTATTTTAAAAGGTTCAAGAGAAAAAACAGGTTTTACTTTCTTCTTCCAAAGATTAATCTTGTTAAGCTGTGCCCCTTCATCATCTAGAAAAGGAGTGGGGAACCATGGCTCTTTTATGATTTGTGAACTTCAACTCCCAGAATTCCTGAGCCAGCCATGCTGAGCCAAGCCATAAAGGGCCATGATTTTCCACCCGTGATCTAGAAGAATATCAAAATACTGCTCCCAGACAAAATACAATAAAACCACCAACAATGTGTAGAAGAACATGAGAAGGAAACAAATGTTAGAGTAGCATAGTAATAATGCACCTGAAGGAAACAGGGAAATCCAAATTAAAATTCTTTCCTTATCAATCTTTCTGACTTGTCTCAGAGTTCACAGAGTTAGATGGGAGATAGACACATTTTACACTAAGGTGTTGACTTGGATTTCTCTTGGCCTTGATGGCCTCTGAATTATGTCTGCTGCCAAATTGAAACTCATCCCAACTGCTTCCTCTTCAAAGAAAATGAGAACATAGACTTGCATACATTTTGTCTTCAAAAAGAAACAAAGATAGAAAGCATTTTTTACTTTCAGTCTCTTTTTCCTAAATCAATTTAAGAGCTGCTTTGGTGCTGTATAAGCATGTCGGGCTATTTCATACCTTATTTCATCTATGAAGCAACCCCTTCATCTTTTATCCTGTCACTCAGTGATAAAATCAAGAGTAAATACTGAGGCCATTTACTTCTCATTAACAATAGTCTACTATGGTATCTGTCAAAATTACCACAAGGTTGGAATAATGGCTGTTCTTTTTTTCCCTCCAACAAATATGGCAGAAATATTCTCAGGCCTCAGTTACTTTTTGCTGCCGAAGAAGCGAATATCAAGCAATACACAGAAATTGTGGCTTCACAAACATTTTGTACAAGAGCATATAAACATGAGCACTTTTATACAATGGATAAGGACCCCTGTGGCTCCAGGGCTGCATCTATCATCAGATAAGTTCAGGTTTGGACCATATTGTCATTTTGAATATGAAAGAAAAAATTATTTAATTGATGAGAATTATTGTGCTAACTGTAAATTTCTTTTTTTCTAGTCCATCTTTCTCCTTCATGGTTGAAGCTATGAACAAATGTTAGAATACATTCATTGAAACAAAGAGACACAAAAAGAGAATTTTTTTTTATAAAAATAATTATTGTCTGATGCTGGCTGGGGAATTCTTGGAGTTGAAGTCCACATTTTAACATTTAAAATGAATGGTTTAAAACTGTCTGGAAAGCACATGAACTCTTAAAACATGCTGGAAAACATAGAACTGTAACTTAAAGGCTGCATTTTGCATTTTTTTTTTTTTTTTTTAGGAGTAGCTGTGCAATAATCAATATTGGCCCTGGCCAAACATTTAGGAGTAGTGTCAGGAGGCATACTACCAGCATATTTGAGCAGATATACTCCTTATCACAGCCACATCTTTTTCATTTGATTATTTTGGAGAGGTACAGTAGATGATAAGAAAAATGTATTTTCTGTTTACAAAAATGTATCATTTGTCTACATCCATCCACCTCTGTGCTTTGGAAATACAAAATGTTTCGGCATCTGCCTGGAAGTACATGAACAGAAACCAACGGTAAAACTGTATTGCATATGTATTACTTAAAAATATATGACTATTTTGGATGCTAGTACTGGCAATAATGTATCCCTATTTAACCTCTAAAATGGCATGAATCAGGGATTCATACTCCTATGTTAAGGCCATAGCCATAATAGTAATTAAACAGGAATAGGGTCAAGAGGCATGTTACTAGACATATTTGTGCAGATGTACTCATTATCAGTCACATCCTGCTCATTTGATTATTTTGGAGGGAGAAGAGATAAGAAACACACCAATACATCTGCTCGAGTTACAACAGTAATGTAACCAACCTGACTTTATGATCCTTTTTGTGGTGGTGGTTAAGTGAATCACTGCAGCCTTTAAGGAAATGGATGATTTGCCATGGGCACAGTTTTGCTAAAAAACCAAAAGTAAATGCTGATTTTTGCCAAAATCACCATAAAATGTGACCATGTGACTACAGGACACTGCAATGGCCAAAAATGCAGCCCAGTGGCCAAATACCCAAAATGCAGTCAGGTGACCATGATCCCCCTGACCATTAGAACTTCAAAAGCAAGTCAGAAGTATCCCATTAAGCGACCAGTCATAAGTTGAGCACTATCTGTATCATGGCTGTATCCAAGATTTTGATATATTATTGAGTTCAAATGTTTTCACATCTCTTTACAGCTAATTTTTAGGAAACAATTTGCAAGGTTATATCAAATTGGACTATTATTTTCATATTTATTTATTTATTAAAATAACGCAGCTCCCAAAAACTTCAGGAAAAGGTTTCTTCCACTCCCTATTATCTAATCGTTTTAAGTGGCTAGATACTTAAGCTTATAAATCATGCTATTTTACAATGGAATATAGTTCCATCTCATGAGTATGATGATTTAATAACTTGTGGCTTAATGTTAGCTCTCCCATCCTGATTAGTCAACCAATACCTTGCTTGATACCTGTGCTTCTAAGGCCCAAAGGTGTTTTTTTTCAAAAGGCAACTGGACTTTCTTGGTGTTTTCGTTGAACTGAAGAAGCTTCTTGGATGAGAAACAAAACATTTGCAAAGAAAACACCAAGAAAGTCCGGAAAAGGGTGATTTTGGAAAAACCATGACCCAGATGATTGAGAATTAAGAATCTGCACAGACTGTGCTTCTAAGCTTCCAGTTTCTCCCTACTGAGTTTCCACAAGAGTAGAGTTTCAAAGAGACTTACACCAATTCAAGCAACTGTGAATAAATGCTTCCCTTGCAGACTTCCAGATTCAAGAGTGGGCAATAAATGCAACTAAAGTATAGACCCTAGTGCTCTTATGAATGCTCCTTTATCATTTTTAAGTATAACTTTTGAACAGGTTACGCTTTAGGTCCAAACAAGATGAAGGGAAAAGGCTTCATTATTTCAGGTCCAAACAAGACAAGAGGAAAAGCTGTCTAGTTTTTTTTAAAAAAACAATTTAGATAGTAGCAATTGCCATCTTAATTTTAACTCTCTAATGGGAAGTTGCTTTTTTTCAGAAGCTATTAGCAATAAGATGGTACTTCTATTGAGATTGCAACAAGAGAATAGTTTAACCAACTCTTTCTATGCGGCTATTCTTTTAAAAAGTAAAATCTTAGAGCTTGGTGTTTGCTACAAACCATTAAGAAATTTCTAGTGATTAATTGTAAAAAGTGGAATAATCTGATAAGAATATATATACTGGAATGTCACGTTAAATCCAATATTTGTTTGTTTTTAACTCTATTGTAAATAAAATTTGAAAAAAAAAAGAAATTACTAGTGATATGCTTAATGTCTCTTCAGTTTAGTCCTTTGTAGCCACATGTTTTCATAGCTGAGCAAAAATGCATTTCCTAATTTTTGTCTCTAGAGGGCATGGAATTATTTCTATAGATATTATCCATCCCTTTTTTTTACTATGTATATGACTCTTTCCTCAAGTTCATGAAAATCCATAATGGAGAATTCATTATAATAAAAATGATAAACATATTAATGAAAATTCCCAATTTTGAAATAGAGTAGTCTAATTTTCCAGATATCTATAGATAAGGACCATTTGATCATCAAGTGCTGCAAAAATTGCTGAGAGGATATGATGTGTGCTCACCATATTTTACTACAAAAGACATAAAACATTAATCTGCTTCATTCGTTCATCTATAACCTGGTATTCTTCTGGTTATACTTCTATTATGAATTCTCAGATATCCTGGCTATGCATATGAGGAGAGTTGCAGTTTCAACATCTTTGAAGGACACTTCAAAAATTGGGAAAAGCTAGCTTAAATATTTGATTGCCTACAAAATGTGCCCTTGCAAGTACTGACTGAGCTCACATTAACATGGATTCTACTTCATAATGAATGTCTTGATGAATTGAGATAAAGCTATGTTTCCTTTTTTTCAACATTCACAATTAAAACATAGCAGCCCAAATTTTTAAAGCAGACAAATTACTGTATATATTTGAAAAGCATTTTATTAAAATAGGATGTGTCCTATGTACAACTCACTTTTTTCACAATTTGAAGTGATTTTTCACTCCAAATCCTTCAGATCTTTATGAAACTTAAGAGTTCAAAACTTCCTAAGTTCTCAAACTACTATCTACAAAAGTACTGGGAAGGGGAGGGGGTGGGAGAAGAAAGGGCAATCTACATGCATTTATCAAATAATGTCAACTCTAAATCACCCCATCCAAACCTTTGTTCCATCAAAAAGACTATGTGGTTGAATAATCAATGGTGTGGCATCAAAAATAAGCACTGAAGATATTGTATGAATTTACGTTCCATATATTGCTGTGAAATTACCACAGAGACTTTCTTAATGAGACAATCTGGGAAATAGGAAAGTAATTTGGAGCAAAGGACAACACAGGGTTTACAAAAGGAGAAAGAGTGAATATTGCATGAGGAGGGGACGGATTAGAGAGATCTGGATAAACAGGTTTTTTATTGTATTTTACCTTGTCTGTAGCAATGGTGCTAAATTATCATGGAATTGATAGGGGGCCACACTGTAAGAGAAATATTACAGAAAAAAACATAGTTGGGTTTGCTTTGGTTCAGTTAAGTCTTGGTTTACAGATGATGAATTCTTCTCTTTTAGGATTAAAATCTTTCAAAGGTTGAGAAAATCCCAGGTGAAAAATCCAATCAGAGCAAAATTAATCAATTTCAAGTCATTGTATGTATCTATTGGCAAAATCTATGAATTAATCACAGAAACACAATATGTATTTTGAATCAGGTAATTTGTGAATTTCCCCATCATATCTACAAGCATTTTTTTTTCCAGCAAATTCTATCTATTTATTTAATTCTTTGATAAATACATGTTGGCACTATTACTTGGCTCTCCTCTTTAATCACTCAGAATTGGGGGGGGGGAGGAGAAAAGGTGAGGCTACAATCAGAAACTTAACTTCATTGATCTTCTAGCCATCTCTGGGGTTATTTTGATTGATCTTGCTCCCTTAAGTAAAAAAAGTACAAAGTCATTTTCTATGGCCAACCACAGTTCCATTCTTTAAATAATTAACAGCAGCCTTCTGGTTGGATGGAAAATCCATCAGTATATATGTCAACTATCCCATGAAGCAAGAAGCAGGAAACAAAGGAACTACATATTTTTTTTAAAAAAGGCATTTTTGGGGTCATCCTCAAGTCTATGCCCCACTGTTTTTAGAGAGTTATACCCTCATAAGGTAGCCTACATGTTATTCCCAATTTAATGTAGAAGGATCTAAATTAATCCTTACAGTTCCAGTTCTTAGTGGTGTTTTTCATCTGCTCCATCCTAGAACTTGTATGATCTATGATACTTCATTCACTACAATAGTGATGATGTGGTTAAGGATAGGCATTTGTTGACTCCTATTGGCTTGTCAAGGCTGCAGTAGGCACACTAACTATCTTTCAGTGACCACTGCCCTTCACAGCCAATTTAGCTTGGGCTGAAGGAGAAGCTGGACATTGGATTTCTGATGGGGCATCTGCCCACCTAATGCAGACCTGTGTTTTGTGAGCTCCTTATAGATACTAGTATAGTATTCTTGTGACAAACTGCTACTCCTATTATTAAATTTGTGTTCAGCAATATATCAATCTATCAAAAGACTGTAACTAATCCCTGCCAGTTGATTTTTCATGGATTTTGTCCCCAAAGAGTACATTATAGGTTTTCTGTTGTCAGAAAGATTTTGTTGGGTTATGTTTGCTGTTGCTTTTATTATGGGTAGGTGAAAAGAGAAGGGTGCCATTTTACCTACTCCAATGCCATTTGGTATATTTGGGATATACTGTGGTGAAATTCACATAGAGTTCTCAGCTTCCTCTTTGGACCAAGCAAAGGGAATCTCAGTAAACTGGTGTCCAAAAATAGCTCAGCTGACTTAGTTGAAAAGATAGATGGGCCTAGGATAAAATAGATGGACCTGTGTGCAACTATAGCTCGTGTAACCTGCTTCACACTGTATTCCTCCTCTGCTCTATTGAGCTGGCAGCCAGAACACTCATAAACTATAGTTAGAAACAACTTGGGTTTCAAGTTCTGGCTTTTTAAAGCACTTTTTCAGAAGCCAGGTCCAGTTCCTAGGCACAGGGAGCATTAAGGGGAAGACTTGCTTCTGCAAATCTGAGTCATCGGATGACCTTATTGCAGAACAGCTCTGACTCATCACTTCAGCTAACTGAGAAGCAGCTAAAGCCTTCATCCTAGGCACCCACCACACTTGCCCAAGCCTGTCTTCCATACCTCCAGGAGAGTGCAGGGAAGCCTGACAAGCTGGTTGGGAGGAGACACAATGTTAAAAGAGCCATCTAATTGCTGCTCTTAAATTATCATGTGATAAAAATGGAAGAACCTGGTAACTTATAATTTCCAATATTGTGCAGATTAGTGCTTAACACTCAGAGCAGCAGAAGTTATACTGACATACTTTTCTAACAACAACTCGAGAATGCATGTTAATGCAACCATGAGAAAGAGCCCTTAGCAAGATATAGCAAAATTAGGGAGGAAAAAAGCTAGATTATTGAGAAAGAGATCTGACAGAAATAGAATCCAACGCACTTGGAATTCTAATCTAGATGAACATTTTAAAACAGACTCTAGAATGAAGAAGTGGCTATACCTGTGTTAGAACTTTTACTATTTCTCTGGCAACAAGATCTTTCCAAAGCAAAGGAGAGAGAAACTGACAGAATTATCACACTAGAGGCAATTAGAGAAAATACAAAGTGTTGAATTTGAAATTACAGATTGATTCAATGATTCAAGAAACTCCATTAATAACCAGATAGGAAAGTATAAATCACAGACAATTGTTTGATTGGCAAAATCTGCAATTCATCTTTTGATTTTAAAGGACAAAGCCACCCGCATAAAATCAGGTACTAGTCTAGTTAAAAATAAAATAGCAAAACAAACAAACCCAGAATCAAAAACCCTACCAGCAATAATGACGGATACTCTTTACCAAACCAGATTTGTTTTCAATGTTCCAAAATTTGATTCCAAGAGAAAAGAAGGTCAGGTATTTACCCAAACACCATTATCTATCAAAGGAGGAATGGTACCAGTTGTTTTGATTGGGTGTTTCAGCAAATTTGCTTGGTAGCAACTGAAGGTAAATAATTAATACAAAAAAAATCTCTTGCATTAAAGAATGTTGTAAGTTAAAAGGACAGCTTTTTAAAAAAAATAATTATTTCTTCTTACAGTATTTACTCAAGTTCTGCCCTGAATAAGAAAGAGCTCTGGAGAAATAAAGCTTCTGCATATTACTTTATGATATTGGTTTGTAAAATAAAATAGAAGTAAACAGCCAAATAAGTTGGACATGTGGTAGCATCATTGTGCTTGTTTCATCACTTTGATGAAATCTTGGCTTGCTGTGAATGCCACTGTTGTGTAGCCCTAAAAAAATATAAGCCATTTCAACCTGTGATCTCATAGAGATTTTCTATAGCTTTCGGGATAGGATTTAAGCTTACATTGATGAGAAAATAGTTTGAGGAATTCAGAACATTGCCTCCCACCCAAAGAAAGAAGTGACAGGTCATTTGCCCCATCAAATGATTTTCATACAGGCCTTACCAACAGAATTTAATAGACACTGATATTAACCTGGTCAAGTCTTCGATGTCTACCAGCATTGCATCCTGCTCTGTGTGCAGTTCATCTCGAATAAGCAGCAGTTGCACCAATTCTTCATTTAAACCTGATTTTGAAAAAGGGGGAAAAAAAGAAGTTTAATTAGACTTATTTCTCTTCTGTCCCTAACGTTTTAGATACTTTTAGCCATTGTGAAGCATACGTTTGATAACTCATTCCGAACAATATAATGGTTTTCATTACTTTTTTGGCTTACATATAAATTAGGAAGGATATGAAGTCATGTTTTAAGAATAGTGAGTAGCAAAATACTGAAATAATACTGTTGTAGGTCTCATGCGATAATCAAGGACAAATTCTCAAGGTAACACAGAATCTTAAATTGACAGGCAGTCCACAGAACATCTGGCTTTTCTTCAACTGAAGGAATTGATGGAAAATCCTCACTACTGAATTTCTAAGGGACTAAAGCTGCTTTTGCCATCAGCAGATTGCCAAGGCCAGAAGGTCGTGCCCTCTAATTGTGTTGGGACTAAACCTCTATGTTTTAATGCCAACCCATCTGGAGAACCACATGATAGGGAAAACTGATGTAAGATGCTGCCCTGGCTCTACAGATACATGAAAGCAGCTATTGTTCTTACCGTAACAGCTACTGATTTCATGTCAGAAGAAAACAACTAAAATGAATTCCCCACTCCCTAATTAGATAAAGGACTCACAGTATTTCTCAACCTGTCTCCTCCATATGTGTCAGGACCATAACTAATGTTGGCAAGTTGCAGCTTCACCAGGAGGTGAACATTTATTTATTTACTAGATTTATAAGTCTGCCCAACCCAAACAATGTGTCTCTGGATGGCATACCACATAAAAACAAACAATAAAAGGGAAAAAAATCACACAGCATTAAAACATACACAATAAATAAACATGATGTATTTATATAAAAAAATCACAAATTCTCCATGACAAATTGACCCATTCTTTGGGGTCAGAGTGGGTAATAAAAGTGACAGAGAGAAGGCAATGGCAAATCATTAACTGAACCCAAAAGCTGAATTTGACTCTAAATTGTCTTTTACTCCCAGAAAAAACCCCAAGCTCTTTCATACAATACTGGAAAAAAACAGATGTATTTCTAGCCTAGAATTCAATTTTTTGTTTGAGGATGTCTGCACTCTCTCCCATCATCCCATTAACTTGTATAATCTATTCTTCCATCTTAGATGAGAATAATACTACCAATTTATTAATGTCACTTTATTCAACTGAAGAACCCTGAGGAAGCCTGTGTGCAAATTACAAAATAACAATTGGTTCCCAAGCTACAGGTAGAGGCATGGTGTCCAATGATAAGATTTATTCTTATCTAGTATTTCATTATAATCTTACAATGGAACAATGGAACCTAATATGCAGGAATTTGACCTTAAAAACTGTGAATAATAGTGAGACAAAGAAAAAATGCAGAAGTATTTCCACTTACTTTCTATCTGTGAATGTAGATCATTGACTATCACTTGTAGTTGCCCAATTGTCATATCTCTCAAGTCTGTGGGTTTTAAACTTCTCTTCATCAAGCATTCACTTATATGAGGCATATGTGGCAGCTAAAAATAACATTAAAGCATTTAAGGTATGCATTAGTTTTATCAGCACACTCTTTGTTTGCAACAATCAACTTTTTATGTCAAAACAGTAGTAGTAACATTGATAATAACAACAACAGCAACAATAATAAACATTGGAAGGGACTTTGGAGGTCATCTAGTCCAACCCCCTGCTCAGACAGGAAACCCTATACCATTTCAGACAAATGGCTGTCCAGACTCTTCTTAAAACTTCCAGTGTTGGAGCATTCATTGCTTCTGGAGGCAGGTTGTTCCACTGGTTAATTGTTCTAACTGTCAGGAAATTTCTCCTTAGTTCTAGATTGCTTCTCTCTTTGATTAGTTTCCATCCATTGCTTCTTGTCCTGCCTTCAGGCGCTTTGGAGAATAGCTTGATTCCCTCTTGTTTGTAGCAGGCCCTGACATATTGGAACACTGCTATCATGTCCCCCCTCATCCTTCTCTTCATTAAATTAGACATATCCAATTCCAGCAATCATTCCTTATATGTTTTATCCTCCAGTTCCCTAATTATCTTTGTTGCTCTTCTCTGTACTCTTTGTAGAGTCTCAACATCTTTTTTACATTGTGGTGATCAAAACTGGATGCAGTATTCCAAGTGTGGCATTACCAAGGCATTGTAAAGTGGTATTAATATTTCGCATGATCTTGATTCTATCCCTCTGTTAATGCAGCCTAGCACTGTGTTGGCTTTTTTGGCAGCTGCAGCACACTGCTGGCTCATATTTAAATGATTGTCTACCACAGTGGTTCTCAACCTGTGGGTCGGGACCCCATTTGGGGTCGAACGACCATTTCACGGGGGTCGCCAACAAGGCTGTCCGCCATTTCCCCCCCCTTTTCTTTGGCCACGCCCCTGGCAACTGGTGATGTATAAGTGGTTGGGGGTCACCACAACATGGGGAACTGTATTATGGGGTCGCGGCATTAGAAAGGTTGAGAACCACTGGTCTACCAGGACTCCAAGATCCCTCTCATATTTACTACTATTGAGCAAGGTACCACGTATACTATACCTATATACCTACAAAATGAAATTCAATGGTGAAAAAAGTAAGGTTCTACATTTAGGCAAGAAAAACCAAATGTATAGATATCCTGTATCTTAAGCCTATCTTCAGGAATGTTAGCTATTCCTGCCAGTTTGGAGTCGTTTGCAAATTTGATGAGATCCTCATCTATCCCCTCGCCCAAATTGTGGATGAAGATGTTGAAGACCACTGGGCCCAGAACAGAGCCTGGGGCACCCCATTACACACTTCCCTCCATGTAGCTGTAGTTCCTTTGAGGACCACACACTGAGTTTGGCCGGTCAGCCAGCTACGAATCCATCTGGTGATGATGCTGTCTAACCCACATTTTTCTATCTTATCAAGTAGTAGGTTGTGATCTACAGTACTTTATCAAATGCCTTACTGAAATCCAAGTAAATTATATCCACAGCATTCCTCTGGTCTACTAATTTTATCACTTGGTCAAAGAATGCAATAAGATTTGTCTGGCATGATCTGTTTTTGACAAACCCATGTTGGCTTTTAGTAATGGCTTTGTTTGCCTCTAGATGTTCGCTGATTTGTTGTTTGATTATCTTTTCCAGAATATTCCCAGGTATTGAGGTCAGGCTGATTATATTATATTAAAGTGTTCTGAACAGTGCACATACAGGTATCCTTGACTTACAACATTCATTAAGTGATCATTCAAAGTTACAATGACACTGAAGAAAATGACTTTTGACCATTTTTCACACTTATAAACCGTTTCATCACCATGGCCACGTGATCAAAATTCAGGAGTTTTGCAACTGAAAGGTCATGTGATCCTCTTTTGAGACCTTCTGACAAGTAAAGTCAGTAGGGGAAGCCAGATTCATTTAACAACCATGTTACTAACTTAACAACTGCAGTGATTTACTTAACTGTGGCAAAAAAAGTTGGTAAAATGGGGCAAAAACTCACAACAATTGTTTTGTTTAGCAACATAAATTTTGGGCTCAGTTGTGATAATAAGTTGAGGACTACCTGTATAATTTCTTGGTTCCATATCAGTGCACAGACTATATAGTCTCATAGAATTCTTTATTGGCCAAGTGTGATTGGATACACAAAGAATTTGTCTCCAGTGCATAAGCTTTCAATGTACACACAACAAGAAAACGATAGGTCACAGATCATAGCTACAATCATTGATCATAATGATTAAAGATTGTATAGGGGGCACATTTAGAAATATGTGTTAAGGAAACTCCCTATCCACTAAAGCTAGTGATGCCATTCACACTTTCAGCAGAATCTGATGGTACTATACTTAATGGGCCATTGAATTTTAGATTGGAGATGGAGGAGTAATCTCTTCTATGAAACAGGAAAATGTAAAACTGGCATGTGCAAGAAAAATTTGAAGGCTGAGAAAATGTTACCTTCATTACCCCCTTTATCTCACCACTTTTGCCAGCATTACTACAAGTAGTCCTTGACTTACAAAGTGTTGCTTAGCAACTGTTTAAAGTTATCATGTACCCTTCAAAAGGGACTTATGACCTGGATTCGAATGTCTGTCCCCTGTCACATGAATGCATTTTGGGCACTCATTTGTGGATATGTGCAATGTCCATGATCACCTGAAAATTTATGATGTTTTTGCCAGAACTTGGTGTTTACATCTGGCTTTTCACAAAAACCACTCAATAGTGAACAACGGTTTGTCATTATGGGGTACTGAGTGTAGATTAATGAGAAAAAAAAAAAGATTTTCAAAAACTGTAGTATCAGGCTGCAGCATAACAAAATTGCCAATAGTGAAGGGGGTCTGAATACTTTGTGAATGCACTGTATATAAAATACAATTCAAATTCAAGTGGTCCTAGGATTATAATAGCAATTGGAACCAGTACTTCCATTACTAAATTATATGATCATAAAATGCAATGTCATGTGACCAGGCTGCTTAGCAATGGCAATCCCCATTGCCATTTTTTAGTGAGGATCACAGATCATTAAGTGAGGGCTACTGAGAGAGCAGGAAAGACTTAACAAGAGTGACTTGCAATCTTTCTTCCTTCCCATTGACTTTGCTTGTGGGAAGCTGCAGGGAAGGCAGCAAATTGTGATCATGTGACAACAGTGCATGGCAACCACCATACATGAAATCTGGTTGCCAGGAGCCCAGATTATGATCACATGAGTACAGCGGCAACATTGTTGACTGCTTGTAAGTCCCTCCTATTCAGCACTTTTGTAACTATGGATGGCTGCTGAACAAACGGCTGTAACTTGAGGAGTAACCATACGTTTTTTAAAAAAACGTACAAAAAAACCCCAAGCACTTTAATTTATAAATACTTCCCTCCACAAAGTCCAAAAATGTAAGGAAATTAAAGGCATGAATTTTTATGTGATACATACAAGATCAGCTACTGGAGATTTTTTTCTATTCTGTTTTTCCACTTCTACTTGCATTTTGGCCATTGGCTTTGCCATCGCCAGAGCCATTTTGGCTTCAGCTTGAAGTTTCTTTTGTCTTGTGAGAAAATCCATATCATCCAAGGATTCAGATTCTTCCTCAGTAGTATCTCTGTCAGAATAGGAAGAGCTCTGCTTGCTCTAAAAAAAAAAAAAAAAAAGTGCAAATGTAAAATAAGCATGGACTTATTTTAAGATTCCACATACTGATGTAAAAAAACTTTGTAATTACTTGATATATGTACAAATAAAAAAAGTTATACACTGATGTAGATAATATAAGTGGGCAACACTATTATATATGAACATGTATGTTCATGTACATAAACAAAGTCATCTTTGGCAAGCATATCTGAAGCCTTCTTCTTTGAGTTTGTCATCTCTGCCATCTTTGTTCTATTTTTGTTTAGGAATGTTTTTCTTGTTTTAATTTTTTTTCTTGTATTAAAATATTTTAAAGTTTAACAATCCGTAAGCTGCCTACAGTTACTGGGAATCAGGCAGTACATAAATAAATAGAACGCTATTCTTCCATAACATTTGCATCATCCTTTAACTCGTGATGGATTGCAGTGGGTAGGGCCACATCAGAGAAATCAACAGGGCCAGCAAGTACATGGGAGTCACATCCAAAATTAGTTTTAACAATTAACCCCCCCCAGCTGAAAGTCTCATGTTTTAATGAGAAATTTAATCATAGAGGAAAAGCATTGAATATTATTTAAAACATATTTAAATGTCACTGTCAAATTTAGCCAGCATATTGTGCATCTCTGTTCTAGATGTAGAGAGCTTAGATCAGTGGTTCTCAACCTTTTTAATGCCGCGACCCCCAATTGGTCGTAAGTCAAGGACTACTCAACCGGTCGTAAGTCGAGGACTACTCAACTGGTGCAGCACCATTTGCAGAATGGGACTTTTGGCGGGCTCAGCAGGGCAGAGACAGCCTGGACAATTCCTATTGGCTTTTCAAAGCCAATAGAATTAGACTCTATTCAAGAGAGTCTATTCTATTGGCTTTCAAAGCCAATAGAAATAAAAGGGAATAGCACAGCTAAGGAAAAGGGGGAAAAAATGGCGGACTGCGTTGTTTGGCGACGCCTGTGAAATGGTCGTTCGACCCCAAATGGGGCCCGACCCACAGGTTGAGAACCACTGGCTTAGATAGCTGTATAAGGCCTCTCGGTTGCCCATTGTTAGGACTGGATTCTCGACAAACCAAGCCATCAAGAGCAGCAGTCCTTGCCCTGCATGTAATTCCTAGTGGCAAATGATGCCACCAGAAAAGGTATTTATTATCTTTTATACTGGTATTTCTCAATCTCAGCAACTTTTAAAATATGTAGACTTTAATACCCAGAAGCCTCCAGCAAGCAGATGGGGGAGTTGATCTTAAAGTGCCTTGAAAAAGTCAGTCTTTAGATTGTTAATGAACGTACTGTATTAAAAGTATGTTGAAACTGTGGTGGAAGAAGGTGGTTTATCCTTCCCAACATTTGTGAAGGATCAACGTGTGCTTATCAGATCAACAGCAAAACTCACCATAGGAGATAAAGGTGTATCTAGACTAGTTTCAGTCTTGCTGTCATCAGCATCACTATCTTTGTCACTTCCACTATCATTGACAAAACAAATTTGCAAATTCATCCCACTCTGTAACCTTGAAAAGAAAAAAGAAGAGTGACAGCTATCATTTTCTGCAGGGATGCTAGATGCATTTAATCACTATAAAGTGGATTAAAAGTGGAACTAAACAGGATTATTTCTAATCTTAAATGTTTATACTCAAAAGCTACATACTTTACTGCTCATACATTTAAATAAAATTTAGTTAGATTAACTTGCATGAAATTGCTAAAAAGATTAGATTGGAACAATTATTAAGAAACAAATATTTAACAGAAGACTTTTAGTTCCAGATATTACACCTTTTCCTAAGATCTAACTATTATCAGTGGTTATTAAATCAAATCAAATCAAATTAAATCAAATCTTTATTATAGTCATAGACAAGCATAGGAAGGAAAAATACAAACAGTTACTAATTATAAAAGTTAAAAAATTAATACAGATATGTATACATATCTATATAGGACTACCTGTAGTTATAATACAGTGAATTCAGAAATTGAAATGCAGGTAAACAAGTTAGAATAAATGTCAATATGGTCTTTACAATTATCATCTTGGGTAGACGTGAGTATGACATCCGACATTTGGCCTTGAAATTTTATCCTCAGGCCCACACGCCAAAAGGTAGGCAAAATAATCCATACTCCAATAAGTAAGAAAAAGAAGTGAGCAAGACAGTGATTAAAATAAATATGAGTAGCTTCCCATATATTAATAATTTTTTTTCATATCATATTAGAAAATAAAATTCTATAGCAATGAATTTTTCTGCAGAGGCTATATCCATGCCTCCAAAGTTCACACCTGGCCTTCAGGGTTCACTAATGCTGTACAGGATTAAGTACATCTGTTTATCAAAAGGGAAGAATGCTCACTTAAATACTTAGACATAAAAATAAGAGGAAAATATATTGTCCAAATGTTTATACCAGAGAAGTAGCCACAATATAAAATAATGTGGGATTTCAAACAATGAGAAGACTAATCCTGTTTGGTTTCAAGGGAGATCTAGAAATATTATATTTCCAATGAAATATTTGTCTTTTTCTTCAGAAAAAGTTTGGAAATTAGTTTATATGTTCATTTTAAACAAAGATTAGTGTATGTGATTTTGAAATTAAAATATGTATTGTGCCAATAAAAATATAATCAAATGCTGTAATATAACCAAATTAAGATAGGTAACTGTAGTTGGAGATAATGGGAATTCTATATATAAATATATACTGCAGTTAAAGTAAAATAAAAAATACACCAGAAACTGCAGCTTATTCAACTTTGGTTGCAGACCTCTGTCCAAGCAACAAATGTCTCCATCATTACAGCAACTCATAGGCTTATTTGAAGAGTTAATGGTGCAAAGAGCCATCCCAGGGATGGATCTTCTGCTGATAAGCCCTACTGAGTAGCAAAGGTAAGGCACCTTAAAATAAGAAGGAAAGAAGAAGTAAGGATTTAGTAGTAGCTTCTCTACGGGCCATAAAAAGTTAAAAAAAGACACCCTCAAGTTGATCTCAGTTGTCAGTGACCGCACAGACACAAGTAGATGGTTTGCTATTTTTTTTTTAGATGTTTGTCAACCATGCCTATTTCCTCAAGGTCTCCCAATTCCAGTCCAAACCAAGCCTGGCCCTTCTTAGATTCTGATCCCAAACAAGCAGAGCTAGACGTTCCCTCTACTGAATCCTAAACCTGCATATAACATGAACAAAGGTATAGAAAAGGATACATCTAAGTTCCAAAATACAATTGTTGGACTTGGAGACAGCTGATAGAAATCTGTTTGGCTTTATTTTAAATGTTTATTCATCAATAAGCTATAATAATATCTATTTTATAAACTGGGGAAAACTGATATACCATGTATAAATCTTAGTGGTGTGAGTGGTGTAATTCTTATATTAAGAGTTAAACCTTTTAAGCCTGCTTATAGGTTAATTTTAAAACTGATTTTAATTTCCCTTTGACTGTGAAACACATTCTTTTTTAAAGGTTTTGGATTTCAACTTGCAGCATTATATCCAGCACTGAAATTGCAGTTCATCACAGAAAAAGTTAGTTAAAACTAAATTAAGGTTATGTCACCTTAATACAGTGAATTTGAGTAACTATATTTCCTACTCTTTTTATCTAGTCCTATTGTACACTTTAAGTAGAAGGGGTCTCTGCAAGACAAATTGCTTGTGCTTTAACTTACAATTATTGAACCTTTAAAAAAAGGCAGGGAAGGAAGGGAAGTGGAATGCCAAACTCATGCCTGTTATAAAGATACCTTAAGCCCCTCTTAGAAAAATGAAATAATTTACTAGATGAGAATATGAAATACATTACCAGGTCATTGATAAACTAAATCTGGACTGTTAAAGTATTGTTCAAATTTTGACAGAAGAAAGAGAGAAATTACAATGTTGAAAACAACTTACCTGCAGCAATAATAAAAATAATAAAAAATATAATCACTTCCTATTAAGACACACAAAGAAATGCTTTAACTACACATTCCTGCTATCTAACCAATCCTGAGATCGGCCACAAGGTGGCTTAGAGTACCTTCTGCAATTTGCAGCATTGATTCATTTTGCAGTGGAATCTACATATATATTAAAGGACTTACATTTAAAATTTAAGGATCAGACATCTATTTGTGTTTACAGAGAGGCATCTGCCAAAGCATTAATAACTTGCATGTGAGGCTGAAATAAAGCAATACTTTTAAAAGCATATTTTAATAATACATGGTGCTGGCCTACTACAAAACAATTGCTCCACATAAGTATTTATTATGAGTCTGATGCTCTTATCATTCTGGATATCTGGACTTCTATTCATCATTCTCAATTAATAAATTCCTGAATTGTCAGGAATGATGTCAAGCCATAAAACAATTAAGTATAATTTATAACCACAGATACATAGTAGGTTGCATAGAAAGACATGTTTTTTCCAGGCATATATGTAATATTCATGTAGGAATCATAATTTATAGGAAAATTATTCCAAATCTGTTAGTTCATTAAGAACATGAAATACGATGGACAAGTAATCACCAAACAAAGACATAATAACCATATGCTTTGATTTATATTATTCCTTGATAGCTCCCCATCACCCCACGATTTAATTTTGTATTACTCTTCATGGAAAAGGACAGTAAAATATTACTTTCCATTTACTTTAATGCTTCTTTGGATGCATTATTAATATGCAATATATAATGAATAATTATATGTATATTTTATGCTATGCCCAAGGTTTCCGGTGGATATTAGATCTAAATTTTAAGCCTTAGGGCATAAATTACAGATACCCAGGGACTGTTTTCTTCTTTGTTCTAGCATTGTTTGAAAAGAAAAATACTGTAGGTTAATTTCTAGCTTTTTTGCATGAGTTATAATATCCCTGTCAAATGTGGAAGCACAGTCTTAATTTCAGGTATGAAGGCAATTTTAGGACTTATTTTAGTCCTAGTACCATTTACCTGGGAATAAATTCATAAAGTTTAATAGAAGTTACTTCTGAATAAGTCCATCTCTTGGGTCAGCCCAAAAGCCCATTTAATTTCACATTCTGGTATCACAGTCACCATCAGGAAACTCACAATCATGAAATGAGGGCATGGTCCTCTTCCATACTTTTTCCTGAAGCTGTGTTTCTGGACGTACTAGCAAGAGGAATAGCAATTGCAGATCTATTCTCCACATATTTTTCTAGTCCCCATTTAAAATGTATCTGGTGACATAATCAAATGTAACTTTCATACTTAAAGTAATTATTCCATTATACTATCAATGTGATTTATGGTTGTGGCTGCTGTTCTTCTGGTTCACCATTTAGCTAACAGATTACTGAATACTGGATCAGAAAATATTGATCTTTAGAGTGACTTGAAAGATCCAGAATGTGATCCTGAATGAAGAAACTGACCTAATGTATGTCATCAAAATCTGTCTGGCCAAAAATGTGTCAATTTGATTAAACAATGATGGCCAGGAATTCAAGCACAGAAGGGGAGAAATGATTGAGGAAGACATGAAATCAGGATATTACAGAGTATCTTGTCTGGGAATTTCATGACAAGCGTTTTTTGTAATAGCATAAAGCAGAACTGGGATTCTGTTGTATATTGTCCAACAATCTTGCTGTCTGAACTTGTTTCAGAGGCAAGGAGCCATGTCCCTTCCAAATAATTGTGCCTGAGTATTTAACATTGTTTGGTTTATAATTTAAATATTAAAATATTTGTTTTTCAGTTTGTTTAAAACCTCTATGTCATGAAAAAAACCACTAAAACACAAATCAACAATATTCTAAAAGATAGAGCTGGCCAAGAAAGACAGCAGCAAAAAAAAGTCATTTAAAAAAGTCTTCCAAGCTAATTTTAATTATATATTTTAAAAGGGAAAAGAAATAGATAACACAAGCACTTTGTGGTACAACTGCATGAATAAAATTGCCATCTAAAAATGCTTTCCACTTTGGCTAATTATATTAACTGGCCAAATATAAAAAGTAAACATTTAGTAACAGAAAATTCTCAAACAAAACATAAGCATTTAATTGCTTATTGGTTTCTTGCTCTAGAGGAATCCCTGAAACTTGGGGAAAAATCTAGTTTCAACCCTAAAAATATTCCAGTTTTCCTGGAATAGTAAGAGCCTATAAGTTATTCAATCTAAAGAAATGTTTGTGTGGGTGTATGGCTACACATAGGTAGGCCAATGGTATGTTTATTGCATTCAGATGTTACTGTAGGAGAGAATATGTTGCTCATGCAATGCTGTTATGAAGGTCAAAGGCAAGTTACCATCTTGTCTTGAGTGATCCCTTGAATCCTTCTCAAGGAGGTGCAACCTACTTACTGTAGTTTCAGATGATAAGAATGGAAGATTCTTTGCAACATTTTGTGGGAAAAAAGCCAAAAATGATATCAGGACTCCAAATTGCTATTTTGGGGATCAGGTTCAATTAAGTCCACCACAGTAGAAAACACCTCTAAATTCTTCACGTCTTGCATTATTATGTCACAACCCAAATATCACTGACTACACAACAAAGCAAATATATAATACAATGAGGATGTCGAAAGTCTTGTGACCTACATTGGGAGTTCAATTTATATCAGGACATAATGTTCTGAATATTTTTAGAGCTTTAAATATTGCATGATTAATAAAATATGCTATTGGCATTTTTAAAAATATTTGTATCTTGTCTTTCAACCTCAAAATGACTTCTGGAAAAGAATATAAAGGTATATATTTCCCAACACATATTAAAGAAAGCTCAGACCCAATTCTGGAAAACCTTCACATTTATTAAAGTGAAAATGTATATGACATTTGCACAGTAAAACAAATACCACTAGAAATTAAATAAGTTGAAATCCTCACAAAATGGAGTTCAGATACCTGAGATATATCTCTTTGCAAAGCCAACATTATGATTTTCTCAAAGCATAAACTGAAGCTTTATGTCTGCCTCTACCATGCTTTAAACTCTTACCTGCTGAAATGTATTAAAATGGGAAATATGCCAAGTACTGGGTTAGTTGTTACTCACCGAGAAGAAAGGCTTGGCTTGCCACTTTTACTACAACTTGTATAAATTCCTGGGCCATCATCAAAGAAACTTCCAAGTGCCAGTTTTTGCCTGATAGATTCTCTTTCATTTTTTTGCGCCTAAGGGGAGAAAAAAATGTAATCGAGCTACTGATGACAAACCACATTCCTCTTAAACATTTTTTGAGTTGTATAAACATCAGAAATCATAACTTGTAATTTAAAATGAGAGATACCAGAGCAGTTGCAGACACAGAGCTTACTCTCACTGTATCTAGCAAATACTGAATAAATGTAAAAGTATGTCTAAATGCTCTACAGCTAGAGATGCAAAGAAAAAAGGGAAAAAAATAGATCCCATTTCCCTTTTGGTTCTTCAGCGTCCCCAATTTTTTCAAAATGGAAAAAAAGTTAGAATAAAAAAAGAATAAAAAAAAATCCTTGAAGTAAATATTTTATTTTAGAATAATGAAGGTAGTAAAATAAGATGTTAGGATTTCACTCTCTTTTATTGTCCCAAAATGTTTATCATTATAGCACTTGTAATAGTAATGGTATTTATCTGTTCTAGGTAACTCACTGGACATTATTTTGTGTCTGGCTCTATCATATTATTAAGCAATTGGTCATAAGTCAAGAACCACTTGTATACCATTGGCATATATTAACAATTCATGTCCAGTTCCACTGATTGTTATATATAAGGCAGGACTTATTTCAAAAATTTCCCTTGCACTGTATCAAAAGCCTTTTCTGCATTTAACAAAACTACCACCGATTTTAATTTTTTAAAAAATATAACCAGAATATTAATTAACAATCTAATATAAAAAGATACTAGTCATTCCTTTGTAAAATAAGGATGGATGGTGAGGATGGATATTACTGTCTGTAATCTACATGCTAGCATCATCATCAAGATAAGATTGCGTCCTCAGCAATAACTTTATCAGTTTTGAAAATTACTATATGTTTCACTGAAAAGGCACAGTTAAAAAGGTTTTATTATAGACCTCCAGAAAATAACTCTTAATGAGATAATAATCTGGACTAAGAGCTTTCCCAATTTACATTGATGTCATAGCATCTATGATTTCTTCATGACATAAAAATGCAGCTTAATATGGGGAACAATTATGCATAATCTTAAGAAAAGCTACAATATAATATACATTAATTTACTCCTGTCATGTTTGACTATATATACCATTATAATTATAGTTAACAAAAACCTTCCTAAACAATCAGTTTAAAGCACTGATGACGTTCCTTAGTTGGGGAAGGAACATCTTGTAAGCCAAACAGCCAAGCTCAGAGAGCACCAAGCACCCAACAGTTCAATCCCGAGATTCATATATTCTACCTTATTGAAACTAAGTTTAATTTGGCCATTACAAAATAAGAAAGCCCTCTTTTTTTTCTTAAAACTGCTTCTTCTTTGCTGCTGGTTTTTCTGCAAGTGTTTTAAATGCACTTTTAGAGGACCACTGTACGTACATACGAGGAATTTTCAGCCCAAAAAGTCAATTTGGGGTCCTACTCCAAAGAAGGAGAATATAGAATAACAGAGTTGGAAGGGACCTTGGAGGTTTTCTAGTTTAAACCCCTGCCAAAGCAGCATTATTTGAACAGAAAGGGACAAAAATTACCTTTGAACATAAAGCAAGTAGGAGCTAATCGTCAACGTATAGCATTCTAATCAGCTCAAAAAGTGCAGAAACTTTGGTTTATACTCAAGAGATGCAGCTCATAGACAGAATAGAATGACTGCAATTATACATCAATCATAAAATGGCAGGTTTTTAGACCATTGTGTATAACTTCTGGCTTTTTCGTTAAGTGATCAGAATGGTGTCACTTTCAAACCTCTGATGATAGTTTAGCAATGGTCAAAGTGTGGTATCTAAATTCAGGATTCTATTCTATAACACTGCAAGCCAAAAAGTATAAAGAAATTAAGAAGCTAAATAAAATTATTTTTTTAAAAAAAGTCTATTGTAAGTAGCCTCCTCTTCATCCTGTCAAACTGCTGATCAATGAACTGGAAACCCTATCTCTCCCATTGCTGATCGGAACCAAAATATGAACAAGGACCAAAATGGTTTTCATGTATGTGTGGTTTATCATCTCAAATGAAAAAATGATAGGTATTACAGATATGCAAGATCTCTGGCAGGAAGCTGAGTTTGAATCCCTTCTTTTATCAACATTGAGATTCTTATCTTGTTTATTACAGTTGGAAGCACAATCATCTCAAGCAATTACAGAAAGATCTATTTTGCTTGGTGATTCTGAGCAGCAAATCCATTAGCAACCCTCATTAGTCATGTTGCTATAGTACAGTACACCACTAACTGAAATCTATTCCCCATCACTTCTAAGAAATATCTGCAGAGAACATCATACATCTGGCACAGAGCTTTTCTGTCTCAAAAGGTGTAGAGCCAAACAAACTGCAACATGAGGGAAAAATCAATGGTTTTAAAAGCACATTTGCTGAACTTAATAAGCTGGTGTATTCATTTTCACTTCACCATAAGTGCTGCTACAAAGTAAAAGAAACCTCAGAGGTCTCTTTCATTTGAGTTTTTTTTATCCAATATTCTGCCATCTGTTGTTATGGTAAACTGAATTTATGAAGACGGGAAGATTTTCATGCTGGAAGAATCTACATTAGCAAAAAAAAATTTAAATGTAACATCAATTTAAATATTATAATATAAATTTATTATTAAAATAAATTTAATATTTATATTAAATTCTTCAAAATATTTGTCTGCCTTCTAAAAAATTCCAGACAAGAACATCTAAATTTCCTTGACATTTCAGAAAATCATTAATATAATTTCTTTTTCTTAACCTGGTTCCTTTAAAATGATTATTGGTTGGTTTAAGAGCTGCTTAATGTATTTTTTATCTTACTGTAATCTATTTTGGATTTGTTGATGATGAAAAGTGGCATTGAATGCTTTTAAAATATAAAGGGACAAATTAAATATTAAAGCAATGTAGAGTACATGTAAACAGAGCAACAACCATGCATTCAAAATGGTATCTAACAAGACAGAAGAAATTAGGATCATTAATATCTTTATAAAATGGGAAACAGTTAAGTGTGAGGACTAGTCGGTTAAAAGATCTTTGGCTGTAACAAACACCCACAAGCAGAAGATGAAAGAGATATTAGCAAATAATTTTATATATAATTTTAAAAAGAAATGTAAATGCATGGCTCAACAATTGTTAGTTTTAGTACTGAAATCTGCTCTGTTTTTCCAATACTGTACAGTATAAAGCAAATGTTATATGCGCATATCAGATGTTTGGTAATTATACCAGGAATTTTGGCAGTAAGATCACAGTTCAATAACCCAGGTCAAATCATTCCAACGATCTAAATGTTACCTATTATATCACAATTACAAGTCTGCTGGTAATTATTTATACATTGTAAAGTTGTTTCATGGGTCATTTATCTACTTTTAAAGTGTAGATATTTTAATTCCTAGACGTTTGAGATCAGATTTTAACCTCCAAAAGGCTTAATGGCTTCTTTGTTATAATGGACTAATCAGGTGCCAAATAATTATAGTTAAGTTTTTAGACTCACAGCCAATATAATAGCTAACAAGGAAGCACTGTCACCAATGTATGCTATTTATGGCCAATGTACTCTATTTACAAATTCAGTATTTGGATACATGGGATCCTTAAGACCTTTTCCATGATAATATTAGACCTTGGTCCACATGGAAGCCAAGAAAAGACAATTGTTACGTATGAAGGCTGTTTTCCTATAAACATAGAGGATCATAATGGAATTAAAAGGGTTTTTAACATGGTCCATGGTCAATATAATAGAACTCAGGATGAAGAGAGCCTAATCAGCTGGGATCTTTCTCCTAATACAATTGTATTGTTATCTGTCTTATCATAATCTGTTACAGGTCCATTTCTTTTCTTTCATTTACAAAATATAGATTGTTATTACATTTCAAGTTCCGGAACCAACCAGATAATCAAAACTGCATATCAAACACAAACCACACATTACCAATTTGACTGGAAGTACAAAATATGCTTTGCTGTGAGAGGCAAGAAGATGAGGAAGGAAGGAGGGAAAATGTCAACTGAGCATGGAATTACATTTTAATTGGACCAAGGCCTTGCTCATAGCAACCCAGTTGTTTATGAGTCAGGTCTGAATCTGTCTATAAAATCATTCATTATTTAATGCCTGCATGGTCATTCACTTTGGACAGCTTCCAGTATGAGATCTGTAAAAACAATAACTGCCCAGTCACATCAAATCAACTAAATGGGTGAGGGAAGCCTCTGTGGAAGATTCATGTAGCCTTAAGACATCCATCTTCAAAGGCTACACATTCCTAACATCCTTGCATGTTTTTCTATAATATAAATATAGCCATTTCATTTATGGGACCGAATTCACCCCATTTGTATAGACTGGTTGTATTTATTATCAGGAATATTGATATGGAATTGAAAGTGACAGATCTGAAAGCACACTGATGGGAACTATAGAGATTTCCACTAGACCTGTAACTCTCTTCCTAATTTTTGTGCAGCTTTAATTTCCTTCTTTAGTTAATACCCATATTTTGATAAATAAGTAAAAATGTAATATAATAGCTTAAAGAAAAGGTTATAAAGAATTCCATGGATTACGACAGATTACCGCATATTCTGGCGTATAAGACTTGGCGCTAATTTTAATGCTTGTGAAAGTCGTCTTATACGCCGGAAAGTACGGTAGCACTTAGCAATACCAGTGCTTTACAGTCCTCTCTAAGCAGCATACAGTCAGCTTATTGCCCTCAACAATTTGGGTCCTCATTTTACCAACCTTGGAAGGATGGAAGGCTGAGCTTCCAACCTTGAGCTGCAGAGAACTAAACTGCTGACCCAGCAGAATTAGCCTGCAATACTGCATTCTAACTATTGCACCACCATGACTCTTATAAGGTTTAAAGTAAGGTTTAAGCCACATGGAAGCAAGATCCTGTAGACATGTCTCTCAGAAACAACTACTAAGGCATTTTAATTTAGAAGCTATATGTAGCTTCTAGTTTCCAGAAAGTTTCTATGTATAAGACGTT